TTTTCAGCACTCTAACTTTATCATTTATAGATTTTATAGATTGTCGTTCAGTATTTGCATCGGGCTGACGTCACACTTCGCATTTTGCACTAAGTCTTTAAGTATTATTAACATCTGGTTATGAAAATCCTCACTCACATATCCTGATCATACCATACTTAAAGCTCGTGATTAAGTTTATCCATAAAAAGCATACTATGCATCAGGCTAGTTGAAACCAAAACTATCTGATAATTTACAAACATACATAAAAGGATTATTAGAAATGTATCAATGAAAATTATTCGATTACAGACCCTTTCTAATTTTATTAAATGCGGATCATTCTTTCCATCCCTTCTCTTACTTTTATATAGACTACTGATACTGGGTCCAAATTCCATCAGCTGGACGTGATATCACCTCCGGGGTCTTTGTCTGCTGCTTCCATGCTGACATTGCCACAAGCCAGACAAATGCCTAGTCGGCCGGGAGATTTCGTGACGTCCAAATGCAATCAATTTCCTACAAATTATGCTTCCCTAATTCCTACGACGATATACTCCTGCTCCTCTCCGCCATCTTCAGTGTCTTCTCTTCCTTCTACCAGTTGTTCCACCTCATTTTCATCCTCTTTTTCTTCTTCCTCTTCTCCTGTTTATTCAGTCTCTTTTCCATCAGTTTCCACATCTAGATCCTCCATAGCAGCTTATTCTGCCTATATTTCCTCTTCTTCACACTCTGTATTGTCAAAAACAGTCAGCAAAGTAGCTCTTCCTCTTTCTTTGGCTGTTCCTCTAACTACTCAGTCCATTTCATCGCTGTCGTCAAGTCCCAACTCGATATCAGGTTTAGCCCCGACATCATCCTCATTTGCGTTGACTATGCCACCTCCTGCGAATAGAGCGGGGTATACGACAGCAGCGCCTCTAGAAAAAAACAAACTCACCACCGGAGATTGTTTACTAGCTCTAGATCTTACTCTGCCACGTACCGGGCAGGTTCCTATATCCATAGAAAGTCCTGCCTTAGGCAAGCCAGGATGGTTGAGCCAGACTAGTGGACAAGGGCTCCATCGGACACAGATAAATGCAAGTAATAACGCTACGAATTTTCAAGTGCCTATTACTGCCTCAGAAACAGTTCCACCATTTCCACTTTCCTCCCCATCTCCTCATTCCCTTCCTTCAGATTCCACTTCTAGCATGTCAAACCCTTTGGCTGGACCTGTAATTGCATCTCTTGCCGCCTATCTCTTCGGTTTATCTACACGGATGAATCTCGTCACTGGTGCCAATTCGGTTCCTACTAGTCATTCCTGTTTCAACGCCAACCTCCGTGCTCTCTGCAACAGTTCTGGGTCAATTTCCTCCTTTGGACCCTTTACCCCTTCCACCACCCCTTCAGACAGTATCCCTTTCAACTCCAGCCTCTCAGAAATTGGGGAAACGAATCAAATTCTTTCAGCCTCTACTTCTTCACCACCTCTATCACTATCTACCGGCCCCACAACTGGAACAGAACCAACGACTAAATTTTTGCCTACATCAACCGACTATTCTAGCCTAGAGCCACGGTTCTCCTCACTTGCTCATTTGATGCTTTCTAGCCTCGGTATGCCCGGTCTTCTGCTGCCTTCCCAATTGGACAAGTCGAATCCAATCAGATGCTCTTCAAACTGGTCACAGCTGAGCAATATATGGCCAGTTTGCACAACTTCGTCTTCGTCCTCGTCATCCTGCTATTTGTCTTCTTGTTCTTTGCCTCCGGCTAAATCGCTGTCCACCGAACCTTTACCGACTGCTGAGCATGTGATACCAACAAGGACAGCGGTATTAGATCATGATGACACCGACCTCGATACTTCCTCAATTGGTCATATCAATAGATCTTCTCGTCTTAATCCTCCTACAGTTGCTCACCCTGCTTCACCTCTTATGCCAACTCCAATCCCTCGTATTCTTCCCACAGAACATGTTGGTCTCTCATGTGCGAAAAATAACGCCAGTAACGAGTCTGTTATCACTACACAAGAAGCTACAGATCCGGCACTTTCGGTCCTCTTCTCCCATGGTATTTTTAAACCACTGCCTCTACCGCTTTCTCAATTTCTTTTACCACCATCCAGGCTTGGTGAATTGCTTGGGCTAAATCTGGATGGAGGAAAAGAGCGGACGGAGAGTGAAATCAAGGGCAAGAGTATGGAGAATGGGATGAGGCAGGACAAAGTCAAAAAAGAAGATCAACTTGTAAATCGAGTGCGAATGAAAGGGTCAAAAATTGGGCAAAAAGATGTAACCGGAATTGGTGAGATGAATGACGATAGCCATGCAGATAATATAATCGCTGGGGAGGCAGAATTAAGAATCGCGCGCATGAAGTTGAATGGAGATTGTCAAACATTAGGTGAGCTAGAGAAATTAACATAATAGGAATTTTCAAGATGTTTTGTAAAATCCAGGTCATGAGAGGTTACATGTATAAACCCCACCCAA